CATCACATCCTCGCTCGGTGTTTCATAGCTCTCGTTGATGGCGTTGATGAGGTTACTGGAGACGTCACATGTCGCCCTAGTTCTGTTTTCTTAGTTACCTGCCATGGAAATTTCTATACGTGCAGAGAGGAGAAAATCTTTGTAGCTCGTTAGGTTAGCAAATCACGTAAGTTGTAGATCTAATGAAAACTAAACGATTAGCTAGTGACATGACAAAATATTACAAGATCTGTGGTAACAGTGGTAAATTTATAACAACGAACAACACTTAATGGCACCAAATATGAAGTGAATGGCATTTAATAGTAATACATGATGTATAATGGTATTTATGTAAATATACGTAATAGAGATGACCAAAAATGAAGATGAAGTGGTATAATATTCCTTCTGACAATGATAAATGATTGATAAGCATTGAATATTCGGTTTCTCCTTGGATCGTGGAAGAAATGTTAGACATGGATCTCAAGAAAAAGGTATCTTTTGTATGTATGTAATAAAGCAAGAACCTCAAAAAATGTCAAAGTGTTATTGTTTTACAAATGAGTGTTTAATTTTTCTTATAACTATGTCTCTTTCTATTTATAAGGGTACATGTGCCACAAAACCCTAATAGTACATATCCAGATCCAGAGAATATTCACTAGAATATTCTCTTTAAAGTCTTATCCCAAAACTAGTCGTTATTACTCTATTTAAGGAGAGTGCTCGTCCTCGACCTTGATCTCTGTTGACTTCTCGACCTAGTCCTTCATCTCTTCTCAAATCATTGCGACCTTGAATCTGCCTTTTGTTGGAGTCATATCGACGACACGTGGCAACCTTCAAAGGCCTTCTTAATGCCGTCGTGATCTACTAAGATAATGTTTTGCCCATACAACTTATACACAACGGTCGCCTCATTAATCTTAGATGATGCTCCTAACAATTACACTATGAGCAAAAGCTATTTGATGCTACAATTCCAAGATGATGTTAATTAATTTCTTCATCACATAGCTATTCGCTCCTTGTATTTATGTTTTGGGAACGGATCACATAACATTAGATTGCTGATGTGTTTGGTGACAAAATGACAATATAAGTAACTCCATTCTGGCTTGTTCTGCTTTCCCTTCCTCCCTTTCCCAGAAAAAAGAGTTTTGCATGTATTTTATTTTTGTTGGTGCAAACCATTTCATGATAAATACTCTGATAAATTTTGTACAAGTAAATTCTACTTTAAAATTAGTCTAGTCCGTAAGAAGTGAAGGTATTTTCACTATTCAAATTGCCCCCTCTCTGTGTCCTAATAATTGACATATGGTATTTTCTGAAGTTGTTAAGCATATCTTGCAAACATTTTCTTTATTATATTTTCTGTTTGGAATAAGTTCACCCCTGCACATTATAGGGATCAAGTTTAGATTTTTACTATTTTTGATGACTGGGAAGAAAAAGTATCCCTGTTCGGTATCGTGTCCGTGTTGATTCTTTGTGTTAGAATATGTTGGTGAAATTATAAGTAATTACAGTTGAAAAATAAAATGAAGGAAATAAAATAATTTGAGGTTGAGGCGCGAATATCTCACTCTCTTTAAGGAGATTCAAGCTCATTGCAGCAAAGTTTTCACTGGTCTTGCAGTAATTCTCTTGACTTGTCTCTCCCAGGATACGACAATCCGATTTCGTCGTATGACTCGAATAAAATCTGGACAAGTTGGGAAAATTATAAGTAATTACACTTGAAAATAAAATGAAAGAAATAAAATAACTTCAGGTTGAGGCGTGAATATCTCGCCCTATTTAAGGAGATTCAAGCCCACTGCAGCAAAATTTCCACTGGTCTGGCAGTAATCCTCTTGACTTGTCTCCCCCAGGATACAACAACTCGATTATGTCATACGACTCGAATAAAATCTCGACACGTTGTTAAGTCCAAAGTTCCACCAAAATGAACACCCTCCTCAACAAAATAATATTCTTTTTTGTAGATAATAAGTTGGAGAGTTAGAATTTTCTCATTCTCTTAACTCTCTTTTTCACCACACCAATTTCACTTTTTTCATGCACACTACAATATTTTTTCATCTTCAACATAAAAGAAACACCACTATTTATAGGTATAAAATTTCTTCCATAGAATAAATATCAACGTAGTGGGATAATAAAATTGTAGAATATGGTTGATTGTTACAAAATTTAATCTTTAGTGAGTAATTAGTGGTAGATCATGACATTAGTGGTTTCATGAGTTACCCCAAAGTAATTGACCACGCTTTCTTGCCAATTTATAATCGCTACCTCACAAGATATAATAATAATAATATTATAATTTTAATATTAAAATGCAATAACACCACCAGAATATTTTGCTTTATTATGAAGAAAAAGAAACAGAAATTTTAGCTTTGGCTCAATTATTTTTGCTAAGGATCTTTTTTCTGATTGTTATTTTGCATTACTTTTAGTTTTAAGAAGCATATACTACTGAGGATCCTCTTGATTCCGTCACCCACCTTGTTTGTAAATTATATACTACCTAGTTAATTTGTTGGCATTTTGCGCGGTCATAAAAAAGTGTATAAATTTTGGAAAATCAACAAAATTTTAATGTGTATGTATATATATACGTAGCTTCAAAACTATAAAGTTCCTTAGACTTTGAACTAATAAACAATAATAAAAAATAATTTCATTTTAATCCTCAAAATAAATGTAGCTATCGTTTAAACCATAACTATGTGAAAGTTAAAGACATGTCAACAAATATCGGCTCTATGAACCATATATTTCTTGAACTCGAGAAGTTTTAAGCTCATAAAGAGATGCTAGTAGCATTAATACCTCCCTTCTCAAATCCAGTTATACTTTCAAAATCTATTTGCCATCTCTATACTAACTTTTCAAAAAGATAATAATTATTCTCACTCTTTTTTTGTTTTATAGGTAATTATTTGTCAGTTTTGCGTATAATTAAACTTTTAAATGAATTAGAACTATATATATAATTCAACTGATAGAGAGATCCTAGATCCAACTCTTGCACAACCAATGTAAAATCAAGTAAAAATACTTAAAGCAAAATAACTGATGTATAGGATATCCAATCATGTTTCTTAAACAGGAAATACAATACTATCATTGTAAAAATAGAATTCAATTGTGACGACAATGGGTTGAAAGGTCTTTTTCTTTCATAATGGAGAAGCATATTTAATGGAGATAGAAGATATATAGTTGTTTTCTTCTAATGTGTTTTTCAAAAACCATATGTATGACCAGTGTAGCTAGCCGTGTATGCGTCTGCACTTAATGTTAGAAATTTTGAGCCTTCCGCCAAATTCACATCTTAACAGATTTTAAATGCTCCACTTAAACAGAAAACCTAAACTATTCCAATTCCAATATCTTGCTTGAACTTTGCTACGAAGCATTGACCACATCGTCCCCTGCACTTGCGTTTTTATTGCATAAATATTTGGCATTTAAAACCAACGGAAGTAGTGAAGCCTCTATATAAGAACATAACATGTATTGGGTACAATATGTCACAGAACGTGGCCATTGAAGAAGGGGACACGTGGAATCGAAGCCGGGAGGACGGAAAACCGGACACATCTACCCCGTGTGTCACCGAGAAAGGCAAGTCCATAAAAACATTAAGCATGTTGCACCCGGTAGCATTCAATAAAGAATATTCTATAGCATTAAAGAATGACGGCCCACTATATGAATTTGGGCATTTATGTTTACCGTTAGGTTTCCATTATCGCACTTTAATAATTGTCATTAGTGGTGGGCCCGATCATTACGCCCACTGAGCTATAAATAATAGGCTCAACTATCATTGTAAGACACGACTTTCTGGGCATCAAAGAACATATTCTAATACTATTTCTCTCTCTAGCTTGTTGTTCTTGTCATCATCGTACCCGAAAACTCGTTCCAGTGCTTTCCAAATCTATCGTTTTATCTATATTTGAGCTAAGTATCTTGTACGAAAATTGATTAATTTATTATCTTTTGGGATCAAATTGATTCATCTGTCTAGAAACCACGAACAAATTCAAGTGTACCATTTTTCGGATAAACAGTTTGGCGCTCACCGTGGGGCCTATACAGTCGGGTGGTTAAGTTGATCCTTACCTCCTTCACTCACAAGCCTTGATCGTTCTTGTCTTAGCAAAATCACAAAGAATGGCAATCAATACCATTAACAACACTCACAATCCCGAGGTTCAAGGAGAACACCCTCATTTTGAGGACTCAATTAGCGACACTAGCAATGAGGGGTAAGATGCCACGCCGGTGTTTGACGGGCGGAACCCCAGACGAGCACGGGAAGCAACTCCAGATGATGCTGACCAGGGGCATGTAGCAGACGCAGTGAGGATCCTGCAAGAGCAACAAGCAATCTTCTTAGGCCACCTCACGCGGCAGGATCAGGTCATGACGGAGTTAAAACAAGCGCTATTGGCACTTCAAATAATGCAAATAGGTGAGATCTGGTTCCTCCCGTTGTTCCTACAAACCAAACAATGCAGAGAGTCGACAACAATACTCCCAGGGCAAAGTTGGCTCCGACGGGGCTGGGGGGAGCAGATCTGGACTCAACAACGATAACAATTCGTTCAAGGAGGAACTCTTGTGGTTCATGAAGGAAGTAAACGCTTGCATGGACCAAATCCCGGAAGCACCCCCGGTATTAAAAGGCCCGAGCTCGAAGAAGTATATCCAATTACCGTACAAACCGAGTGCGGCCCCGGAATTAATCCTAAAACGATTCAGAATGTCTGATGTGCCAAAATACGATGGGACCTCAGATCCGCAGGAATACATTACCACCTACACAACGACGGTGAAAGGAAATGATCTGGCTCCTCACGAAATCGAGTCTGTGTTATTGAAATGATTTGGTGAGACTCTCACGAGGGGGGTTTTGACATGGTACTCATTATTGCCCGAGAATTCCATAGCTTCTTTTGAAATGCTCGCGGATTCGTTCATCAAGGCCCATGCCGGTGCCAGAATGGTACAAGCCCAAAAGGCCGACATATTTAGGATCACACAAGGAGAATCTGAGCTATTACGAAGGTTCATTAGCTGGTTCCAGAAGGAAAGGACGTTGTTACCGGCCGTCCCGGAAGAATGGGTAGCTGAAGCGTTCACTAAGGGTTTGAACACTAGGAGTTGAGACGCTTCCCGATAGTTGAAGGAAAGTCTGCTCGAGTTTGAAAAAATAACTTGGGCGGATGTCCACAACCGGTACGACCCAAAGATAAGGATCAAAGACGATCAGGCTGACTTCCCGTCATCAGCAAAGCGACGGGAGAAGAACAAAGAAAAAACAAAGGACGATGTCGACTCACATAGACAATTTTCATGGGGCCGGTTTCTGCCCTACGAGCAGACAAAATGTCATGATAGAAGTTTCTGGACATCACACAAGTTCACCATTGACAGGAGGATCGATCGTGGGCGGAACAACAGATCGCAGCAGGATAGAGAAGTTTCTGGACATCAAACAAGTTCTTCTTATCCAAAGTTATCAGAGTATAATTTTAACCTCAACATAGTGGAGTTAGTGTCGACCATGAGCGATATCAAAGAGGCACAATTCCCGAGACCGGTGAGGTCCGATCCCAACCATAGGGATCCAAATTTATGGTGTGAATACCACAGCACTAATGGTCACCGGACTGGGGACTGCCGGCACCTCCATGAAGAAGTGGCAACGCTGTTAAAACATAGTCACCTCAGGGAATTCTTGAGTGACCGAGCCAAAAATAATTACGTCCGGGACAAGAGCGACACCCAAACGTCGAGACTAGGAGAGGAACCTCCACGCCAAATGATCAACATGATACTCGGAGAGAACGAGATTAATGGGATCACATTCTCGGCCGCGAAGAAGACAAAAGTATCAACAACCCACAGTAAGAGGCTCCGGGATGATGGTAGCACGTTCACAGATGAAGACGCGGACGGATTACTACTGCCGCACAATGACGTGCTGGTAATCTCATTAAATGTGTTAAATTTAAAAATTAAACATGTTTTAGTGGATCCAGGAAGTTCTGTCAATATCGTACAATGGAGAGTTCTAGATCAAGCTAAACTTATCGGGAGCATCGTTCCTACAACAAAGCTCCCTGATGGATTCAACCTCGCAAGCGTGACAACCCGAGGGGAAATTTTACTGCTTTCGGATGCTGAGGGCATAAGGAAGATGGCTCTCTTCGAAGTAGTAGACGGGGACATGGGCTATAATATCATCCTGGGAAGGCCATGGCTGCACGAAATGAAAGTTGTGCCTTCGACGTACCACTAATCGTTGAAATTTCCAACACATGAGGGGATCAAGCAGATAAGGGGTGATCAACCGGCAACAAGAGAGATGAATGTGATCTCGATTTCCCATAGCAAGGGAATGGACCTGCGGCATAGCAGTTACCGGAACCGACTTCCGACCCCGAGCTTGAAGAAGTTTTCCCGGGGGTAGAAGTGTGTCGGAGCAATATCATGTACCAAGGTATTTTCAGGTACCAGAGGAAACAGACGCAATGAAATCCACGGCAGAAGAGCTAGAGCAGGTTGCACTATTAAAAAAAATCCCAGAAAGGAAATTCCATTTAGGAACAGGACTACACCCGGAGCTCAGATCAGGTTTTATTGAATTCCTTAAAATTAACGCAGATTGTTTTGCATGGTCGCACGAGGATATGACAGGAATCCCAACAGAGATAGTCATGCACAAGCTGAGCTTGGACCCGAGCATACCTCTGGTAAGGCAAAAGAAATGCCTTATTGCAGAAGCAAGGAATAAATTCATCAGGGTAGAGGTAACCCGTCTATTTAAGATTGGTTCAATTCGAAAGGTAAGATATCCGGACTGGCTAGCTAATGTTATATTAGTTCCTAATAAAAACAAAATAAATTCGCATGTGCGTAGATTATAAAGATCTTAATAAGGCATGCCCTAAAAACTCGTTCATATTGCCAAATATCGATCAAATAATCGTTGCTACAGTCGGGAACGAGTTAATGAGTTTCCACGATGCCTATTCTGGGTACAATCATATCAAGATGAACCCGGAATACCGGGAAGAGACTTCGTTTATAACAAATTTCGGCACATATTGTAACAACGTAATGCCCTTCAGACTAAAAAACGCCGGAGCCGCTTACCAATAGTTCGTAAATAAGATGTTCTAAAAATGAATAGCAAGAACTATGGAAGTATATATAAATGATATGCTCGTTAAGTTTCTACATGCAGATAATCACCTGAGACATTTGCAAGAAACGTTTGACACACTGAGGGAGCACAATATGAAGCTTAACTCCGAGAAGTGTGCGTTCGGGGTCGGATCAGGTAAATTCTTAGGATTCCTGGTCTCACAAAGAGGAATTTAGGTGAATACCGACAAAATAAAAGCCATAGAAGACATCCCGGATCAACTATTCAACGTAAAGGAAGTACAGAGACTCACTGGCAAATTGGCAACTTTGAGCATATTCATTTCCTGGTCATCGAAAAAGTGTCATCGCTTGTTCGCACCGCTCAAAAAGAAAAATAACGTCGAGTGGACGCCAGAGTGTTGGCAAGCCTTGAAGGAATTGAAGAAATACTTGTCAAGCCCTCCGCTGCTCTCGAAACCTAAAGAAGGAGAAACATTGTTAGTCTACCTGGCGGTCTCAGAAGTTGCGGTAAGCACAGATTTAGTCCGGAAGGAAAAAGGTACGTAATTCCCCACATATTACATTAGCAAAAATTTAATGGGAGCAGAAACCCGCTACCCACATCTGGAAACATTGGCCTTAGCTCTCGTGGTAGCCGCCCGAAAGCTAAGGCCCTACTTCCAATGCCACTCGATAATGGTGGTAACTGCTTTTACTTTGAGGAATATACTCCATAAACCCGAACTCTCAGACAGATTGGCCAAATGGGCCGTTTAAATGAGCGAGTTCCACATAGAGTATAAGACGAGAACAGCGATTAAATCACAAGCCCGGGATTCTGGACCTTATCCACGGATGGAGCTTCAAACGTGAAAGGTTCCGGGCTCGTAATAGTCTCGATCACGCCTTCGGGGGAAACCTTAAATCAAGCCATCAGAATGATTCCTCTAACTAACAATGAGGCAGAGTGTGAAACTTTGATTGCAGGGCTCGAATTAGCCTGGGGACTTGACTCCGAAGCCGTCAAAGTAAAATGTGATTCACAGTTGGTGGTAAATCGGGTCTACGAAAGTTTTGACGCCAAACAAGAGCGTATGCAACAATATGCAGTAATGGTTCAGGCTTTACTGACAAGATTCTGGGAGTGGTCAATAACCCACATCCCGAGAGAAGAAAACACGTAAACAGATGCATTAGCAAATCTGGGCTCATCAATATAAATCCAAGGACCGGAATCAGGTATAGTTGTACAACTGATGAACTCAACCTTGGACACAAATGGTTATTACGATGTAAATTCGACTAATCTTGTTTGGGACTGGAGAAACGAGATAATTAATTACCTCGAGCATGGAAAGTTGCCCGAAGACCCCAAAACATCGAGAGCATTGCTCACCCAAGCCGCACGCTATAGCTTCAACGAAGGCCAATTGTACAGAAAAGCCTTTCAAGGCACGTTGGCCCGGTGCTTAGGTGCATCAGAAGCCAATTATATCATTAGAGTAGTCCATGAAGGGATATGCGGAAACCACTCGGGCACAGAGTCTCTGGTGCTGAAGTTGGTCCGAGCAAGATATTACTGGCCCCGTATAGAATAAGATGCCAAAACATTCATACAAAAATGTGATACGTGCCAACGCCATGCACCACTAGTACATCGACCAGCAGAACCCCTGCATTCAGTTCTGTCCCCATGGCCATTCATGAAATGGGGAATAGACATCATCATACCGTTACCACCGGCTCCTGGGAAGGTTCGGAATACCGAAAGAGATTTCATGTGACAACGGGTCACAATTTATCGGCACAAAAGTCACAAAATTCCTAGAAGATTTGAAGATAAAAAGGATTAACTCTTCACCTTACCATCTGAGCACAAACGGCCAAGCGGAGTCAACAAACAACAATTATGCAAAACCTGAAGAAACAGTTTGAATAAGCAAGAGGCCATTGGCCCGAAGTATTACCTGGAGTGTTATGGGCCTACCGGACAATGTCCCTCAAGCACAGGAGAAACCCCATTTTCCCTTGTGTATGACACATAAGCTTTAATACCGGTGGAAGTAGGGGAGCCAACCTTAAGGTATTTGCAGGCAGGCGAAGAATCAAATAATGAGGCGATGCTAATCAACTTAGAACTGCTCGAGGAACGTAGGGAATTAGCGCATGTCAGACTGGCGGCCCCAAAGATGAGAATTAAGCGATATTATAATCAAAGAACCAACCTTCGTTACTTAAAAGTAGGAGACTTGGTCTTGAGGAAAGTGACCCAAAATACCCGAGAACTCAATGCCGGCAAGTTAACTTCTATATGGGAAGGCCCTTTCCGAGTTTCTGCTATCGCCGGTAAAAGGTCATATGAGTAGGAAAACCACAATGTGAGACAAGTTGCCCAACAACTGGAATATGGCTCATCTCAAAAAATATTACTGCTGACAAACAACAGTCAAACATTAGTGAGACGGAAAGTATGTGTTGCACTCTTTTATTACTTAGTCTTAGAGACTAAGTGTCATCACGACGCCTGTGGTGGAATTTTGGGTCGTGATACCTACGAGCTGCAACATCACCATTCCAATTTTTCTAGGTGGTTTAGGATGGAGTTTTTATGGTTTAATGGTGAAGATCTGAGATCATGGTTGTTCAAAATTGAACAATTCTTCTCTATGGAAAAGGTAGTTGCTGAAGAAAAAGTTGAAGTAGCTGCATTACAGTTGGAAGGTGAAGCTATACAATGGAACCTTTCTTTTATGAGATACCGACAATACCTACAACCTGCTACTTGGAATGAGTATGTCATGGCATTGGTCGAGAGATTTGAGACTGATTTTGATGATCCGATGGAAGAAATCAAAAAGATCAAACAAACTTGTAGTGTGAAGGAATATCAAGTTGTTTTTGAGAAGAATCTGAACATGGTAAGATTATCCCAAGAAAATGCATTTAGCTGCTTCATTGGAGGTTTGAAACATGAGCTCAATATTGTCGTCAAGCTCACCAACCTAACCACATTGTCACAGGTATACAGGACAGTAGAATGTAGGAGGTTTACCTAGATGCAACCAAACAAACTTCCTATGCATCAGGACCACTAGTCAAGAGATATGTTGGGCCAGGAACTACTGGTAAACCATTATTACCTACTCCTACCTTCACTAGTTCATCTTATACTAAGGGTATCAATAGGAGAACATTGTGTGTAGATGAAATTAATGAAAAAATGGCAAAGGGATTGCGCTACTTCTGCAATGAGAAGTATGTACCTAGGCATAGATGCAAAAATTCCAAACAGATTTACATATTAGAATTGGAGAAAATAGAAGAAATACAAGATACAGGGGAAGAACAAGAACTATTTTTTCAAGATGATAGTTTCAATGCCCCAGATCCATCTTTATCTGTTGAACATATGGAGATTTCCATTCATGCCTTGAATGGCTCCTTGGGTTACAGAACGTTGAAAGTGACTGGTTACCATGCTAAGAAGGCCTTGAGCATTCTGATTGATACTGGTAGTTCCCACAACTTCATTGATCCTGACTTGGTCAAACACATGGGATGTAAGATCAGGTATACTCACCCTCAAATGTTAGCTGTTGCTAATGGAAACATGATGGTGGACAAGATATGTACTATCACTTGGTTGCTGCAAGGAGCTGAGTTTTCAACAGAGTTCTTACTACTGCCCTTAGGCTCTTGTGGAGTAGTACTTGGAGTGCAATGGTTGCTAACACTTGGAGACATCAAAATGAACTTTAGGAAGCTCACTATGGAATTCTGGTATAAAGGAAGGAAATATCTCCTCAGAGGAGATGGCAGCCAGATCAAGGTTCAAGAAGTTGACAAATTGGCTAAGCACACAGGTAACATTTCTCAGCTATGTATGATTCAAGTAGTACCAATGGGAAATACTGAAGAACAGTGGCACGCATTAAAAGCTAAGGAAGAACCAGAAACAGATGCTAGATTAGTGCAACTGTTATCTGAGTATTCTAGCTTGTTTGAGGAGCCTACTGAATTACCACCTTCTAGAGGTGTGTTTGATCAGAGGATTGTGTTGCAAGCTGGTACTGAACCTGTGAACAAACAACCCTGTATATACCCTTCAGTTAAGAAGGATATCATTGAGGGCTTGGTACAACAGATGCT